AAGCTGGGGACGCACACCTTTTCGGACCTTCTTTTGGGCTGCTGCTCGTGTCTTCGTTGTTGCCGCTTCTTTTGGCTGCTTTGGCGCCAATCGACACTGTCTTTCTAGAATGGAGTATTCTTCCACGCTAGTCTTCCTCGGTAGTTCGCGCTGAGGCCAGGAAGAGGTGCGGGCACACAACAGCACAGGGTGGCGCCAGCGGGTCGCCACGGTTGAGGTGCTTCTAGTGATTTCTTTGGGCTTCTTGACGGTTGTACTGCGACGCAGGACGCCAAGCAAAGTCAAACGCGTTACAATAAATAAATATGCGCTTCCTTCCAGGCTGTTGCTGCTGGTGTGTATTCAGCGATGCTGCATCTGTGAAGGCGCATGCACACACACGCATTCACAGAGAGAGAGAGAAAGAGAGGGCAAAGTCACACAGTTATAGTGGCAGCGATTGCTGCCGTGCACGCGAGTACGCCCACCCGCCCAGAGGGAAGCAGAGGGATGGCATGCAAGGCTGCCCGCGGGCCTGCCAGCGTTACTAACCGTTGGATCTGGCGGCAAAACAAAGCGTGACGCGAATCGCGCCGCTCATCCATCGTCGTAGGCCGCACTGCTCTGCGTGTGCTCGCCCCCACAGAAGGAAACACCGAAAAAAAAAAGTAGATGTCTGCCTCATTTGCGCGGAAAGAAGAGGAATGAACGATCAAACGCACGGCCCTCGCACGTACGTGCGCATCACCGACGGACGGCAGACACCCAGCCTAAACAAGCGACACACGACAACCGCGGAAGGACGCAGCCAAAACAAGGAAACGGGCAGGCATCCTCCCCAAGCGGGGGGCACCGCGCTCGGAGGAGGCCTTGATCCTCCTCATCCTACCACAGAGAAAAAAAAAACGGGGGTGGAAAGGAAACCAAGGGGGATCGCTGCTGTGGGATCGGTCAGCGCCCCGGCGTCGCCAGTTACGGAGCGGTGCCCCTCACCCCACCCCACGCACCGGGGCAGCAGCGGCAGGCCGGGTTGTCTCACAACTCAAGCGTCGTTCACCGGCCTCCGTGGAAGGCGCAGAAGGAGGCGATCTTTAGGGCCCCGCGACCACGGGCCCCGCAGCGTGGAGAGGGCTTCGGTGGGGTTAGAAGGGGAGGGGGAAAAAAAAGTTAGAGTGAAAAGACAGAAAGTAAAAAAAAAAAAAACTACCACTTGCCCCTCCCAACGCGGTAGCCTGAAAAACACAAAAAAAAAACAAGTTATACAGAAAGAAACGTGGCAGATGCCCCGGGCACACACTCATTTATTCCGACCAAAGTGGGCACACGTTCCTACAAAACAAAACAAAATCATGACCTTTTTCGGAAGCAAATGCTTATCCACTGAGAGCATCCCATTCCATTCGCCGGCACTTTTTTCTTTTTATTTTTTTTTTCCTTTTTTTAGATTTTTGGCGCCGCTGGGCGGCCCGCCACGCGCCAATAAATTTTCTCTACAGGGGGGCGCCACCAACACGCCCGGGCAGTATTTGTTATTACTACTTGTCCCCCACCGGCCAACGGAGGGAGAGGCGCCCCCACGGCACCAATGAAACGTTCATTGCGCTACGGGTGCAAGACGCAGCGAGGCCTCCCCTCCTCCCCTACGTGCCCACCGCTACATGTCCATATTATTCGCGAAGATGAGTCTCCGAATTGGCTGGAACATGCAAATCGCCGTCCACGCCAGCATGATGCCCACGATGACCCAAAAGCAGTTCAGATTG